GGTGTCTGAATGAAACGTAATTGTACACCTAATCCTTAACTGTACCCCACAAAACTATAATAAAAATACTGATTAATTAAAAAAAAAAAAAAAAAAAAAAAAAAGATGTGGCTCAGCCGGGCTCGGTGGCTCAGCATGTAATCCCGCGCTTTGGGAAGCTGAGGTGAGTGAATTGCCTGAGCCTCAGGGTTCGAGACCCACCTGGGCAACTTGGCGAGAACTCACCTCCACAATAAATCAAAAAAATTAGCCAGGCGTGGTAGTGCGCGCCTGTAGTTCCAGTTACTTGGAAGGCTGAGGCGGAAGGATCGCCAGAGCCCAGCAGGTCGAGGCTGCGGTGGCCGGGAGCTGCCACTGCACACCAGTGTGGGCGACAGAGTGAGACTCTAACTCAAAAAAAAAAAAAAAGATGTGACTCTATTTTAGGTACCATTTCTACATTTCTTCAGTAATAATACAACAGTAACAATAAGCAGTGCTAGAATTTAAACTTTTCTCTTTTTAAAAAAGTATTTTTAAGATGTGGGTGCAATTCAGAGTTAGGTATACAAATGATCATTGTACAGGTAAAGTTTTAACCTCACTTTGGTTCCCACTTCACCTGATTTGAGAGATCAGGTACCCTTATTAATGAAGTGCCCCTCCCACCCCCCACCCCCACGGCAGTTTTCCACTACTGCCAATCCCTTTCTTATAGTATGACCATAATTACTAACTCAAAAAACAACAGATGCTGGAGAGGATATAGAGAAAAGAAAACATTTCTACACTATTGGTGGGATTGTAAACTAGTACAACCTCTGTGGAAAACAGTGTGGTAATTCCTAAAAGACCTAAAAATAGGCCTTCCATACAACCCAGCAATCTAGATTCTTGGAATATACCCGGAGGAACTCAAATCATTCTATGTAAATGATTTAAACTATTTTCTAACAACACCACCAAAACACCTGAAATTGTCATTTTTTTCTCACTTGAAATTTTTAATGCAATTTTTAGTAGACTAAACATTAATATACCATTAAGTGCTTTTCAAATCAATAACACTTGCAAAATAACACTGCCTGTTAGTGATAGGTTTGTAAAGTAGGCACCCACATATACTATGGATGAAAGTATACATTAGTACGAGCTGTCTAGAGAGAAAGTTGAAAATACCTATCAATAGCTTTTAACAGGTTTATAACTCTTGACCTAAGATTTCTTTTTTTCAATTTTAGGAATTTATCCTAAGGGAATAATCTGTAACTCAGATAAGATTTATGTATAAAGGTCTCAGTTCAGGGTTATTTGTAAAAGCAAAGCATGCTCAACAATGTGAATAGCTATGGTAAGTATCACGTTATGCATATGATAAAATATTATGTACCCATTCCAAGTGATTTTTAGATCTATGATAAACTGGGTAGCTGCACATGATATAAAGCAGAATATCTAGTCTAATTGTTTATCATGTATATGTACTAAAAGAGTAGGTAGAATACATCAATAATTGGGATGGAAGTATGTGATTTGGTAATAACAAAATACTCTCATTTTTAAACTAAATCCAATACTGGGCATATGTGGTACAAAAGTGTACTATACAAATCCTTAAATAACAGTCCTTTAATGACCTAGAAGTTATTTGGTGACACTGGGACTTCAGGAATGATTAAAACACTGCTCCTCTTCTCAAGGAGATCACAGATCACTAAGCAGTCAGGCATGTAAAACATGTATTATAATATAACAAAGACCCTGCAGAGAAAGCTACAAACTGCCTTCAGTGGTCAGAGAAGGATGGTAACTAATTCTTCTGGGTTAGAAGATTGTTATTCCATGAATAAGGCTACATGAAAAGGTTATGCTCAATTAGTATATCATCAGAATTAATGGATAAATAACTGTGATTCTTTATGCTTCCAGTCTTAATGGGCTCACTGTGGTAATGAATAGATAGATCTAAATCACCTACTGAATAAAAAAAGACTATGAGTTTTGAAATATTATCTCTGATTTAAGTAATATCACTTACAGAATGATTACTATATGCCACTTATCTAATGTTAAAGCATCTTATCTCTTTTCATTGCTATAAAGGCTGCATTTTAAGTAAAAAAATATTTAAAGTATGCCTCAGTAAGATACCAGCCTTATAGTTAGAATGATATGAAATAAAACTCATACCTTATATTATATCTTGATTATTATATCTTAATTATTTAAACCTTAGTTTTACTTGACATATACACAAGACTAGATATATCAGAAAATAGTCTAAAGATGCCCCCAGTAAATTAGGTAATTCCATACTAGAAAAAAGGGAACCTTCTCTTAAAGTTCCAACACACTGATGGAAATGCTATGAAGACACTAGAGTCAATCAAATTTTCCACCTAAAGGAATAAAGACAGTTTTGCTGGTATGAGTATGGATTTGATGCGTGTGAAAAGAGAGCAGCCAGGGATAATCATATTTTTAAGAGTAGAAAGGAGAGGTGAAAACCTTTAAACCTTTAACATGGATCTGTGGTGCACAAGAAGTTTGATCAGACAGAGAAAGCCTTTGGGTTGACAGCTCCTTGAAGTCAAGTTCAGAAGTGTAAAACATAAAACAGAGAAATATATTGCAGGGTCTGGGATTAAGACTTTGAAATTCACACTTGACAAGTTAAGTCCATAGCTTTGAGCCCAACTCTGTGCTGAAGTTAAAAATGAACATGGCCTCTCTTTTTCTGACATAGACAAATAAACATTCCTTGTGCAGAAGGGAGTGTCAGTATCAAAGACACTGTGTTGGTTAGGCCACAGTTAGCAAAATAATATGGCTTCTCTCTTCCAGAGCCACGAGCTGGTCTTCCACATGGTATTTATTTTACTTACCATAGTGATTGACGCTGTTTATAAGCCGCACTCCCACTTGGGCATGGTTATTAGTCATCAGTACAATATCAAATAAGTCCTGTTCATCAGGATACAGATCACGGAGTCTAGCATTGACATGCTGGAGTGCCTGCAGGTTGCAAACATGAATGTGTGTAAAGAGGGGCAGTCAAGGTGGGCTTTGGGAGGCTAGAGAAGAAAGCATCTCATTGGGATCAAAACCGAGATTTGAAGACTCTTCACTGAGAGATGGTTCCTTTAAGGCCAGGTTATGTCATGTGTGTATATATTTTCAACCTCTCATACATAGGATCTTAGTTAATATTCACTGAATACATTGGTAATATTTATTGAAAATAGTTGCACCATTCGTTTACTAGAATTATCTCTGGTGGGTAGGTAGAGAGACGGATCATGCTAAATCTTTTTTGCTTTGTCTATGTTTGATTTTTAAAATCTGCTTTTATGGATCATCAATGATTATATTTTGTTGTGAAAAGTATAGTGTGCTTCATGAATTTACACATCATTCTTGCACAGAGGTCATGATAATCACCTTTGTATTGCTCCAATTTTAGTATATATGCTACCAAAGGGAGCACTTTGTCTATTTTTTTTTTTTTTTTTTTTTTTAAACATAGTTCTTTAGACTAGGTTTCCTCCCAGGCTTCTGCATGTCCCATAAGTACTTACACTCACAACTTGTAGAGATGTCATTTGTTTTTGCATCATTATGATGTTACTGTGTAAATTTGTAAAAAGTTATGCAAGGGATCAAGGTTATAAGTGCTATAAATTTCAGAGTAAGTTCAGAGAACCTTGTCATATACATATATATATAATTAAAATCACACCCCTAAATGCCAAGAGCATCTTGATTTTCTTAATATGCTAGATTTGGGGCTGGAACAGCTAAAGTGAATTTCATCTCATTTTAGCAAGTTCTTTCATTTTTTTTTTACTCAGGATGGTAAACTCACTATGGCTTCTGAGTATTCCTTCTAGGAAGGGAGTAAAAGCTTTGGTAAGGGATCTGTGGATTCTCCACTTAGGGAAGTCCAACATCAAAAATTCAGGGCTGTGGTCTGGAGTCCCCTCCCGCACAGTCTGGAAGACTGTGAAAACATTAAGTGTTGCGTCAACTGGAAGGTGGCAAGGATGACAAAGGTGGACTAGGAATGGTTGGGGAGACTGGACGAGTTCTCGAGGGTCAGTCTGGGTCCTTCCCTGGCCATCCAGGTCCTGGCGGAGCAAAGACCGCTTACAGTTACCTTGACGAAGCGGAACGCGGGTCCTGGGGTCAGGACTACGTTCTCGTTGTTGAGCTGATACTCCATGTACTTTTCCAGACCCTCTTCCTCATAGATTTTCCTGCCGTCCACCATGTTGAAGAGCGCGCGTGATGAGACGGCGATGGTAATGGCATGCTTGGGTTTGGGCTGCAGAGAGGGGCGCAATGGGAGGAAAGTCACACAGACAGGAAGGGATCAGGGTTGAGGCTCACCTAGGGTAGAATGGAAAGACAACATCCGGGCCTCTGGGATGCTGGAGACAGCCGAGGCTGGGACTCCCCAAGGCTTGGGGAGGAGAAGTAGGGGACTGGGACGGACTTCCCTATGCAGTGGAGAGGAGGGAGGCTGGAAGCAGCTCAGGTGTGGGACTGCAAGGCGGGACGTCCGGGGTGCCAGGGGCGGCGGGCCTGCTCACCAGCCGGGGGCGCGAGAAGTTTGAGGTCTTGTCGTTGGGTGTCCTCATCGATGCCCAGTAGGCATCCTTGTCGTTGTCTTCCGCCTGCTGCTGCTGGGACAGACAATCAGGATCCAACTGCATGGAGGTGGGGTAGAGCACCCTGCGCTGGGAGTAGGGCTTCCATTCGGTGGGGGGCGTGCGTGGATAGTCCCGCAGCGACGAGTCCCGGGACTCGCGGATTTCCCGTGCGATGCTGTGCGCCCAGGCCTCCGGATTTTCTTGGATCTTGGAGCTGCGCTTGGAGCCGGGATCCGGCTCCGGAGGCGTGGTAGGTCGCGAGTCGAGCGACCGCGGCGCCTGGGGCGGCGTGGTCGGCTGGAGCGAAGGCTGCCCGGACAGCGGGGGCGGCGAGTCATGCTGGCTGGGGGAGGTGGATGAAGTCCGGGAGGTAGTGGAGCTGTTGGGGAGCTGAAGGAAGAAAATGGGCTTTTGAAGTCGAGGCTCGCCCGGGGTTTCTGTTCCCATCTCCGCCCAGCTCCAGTCAGAAACTGTCCCTTTTTGCCTGTTCTATGCCTAGACTTGAGAAGGTTCCTCATTCATTTCAGATCTTGTAAATAGAGCTTAAAGGGACTCGGGCCTTTCCAGACTGAGCTCTTTGATATTTATGTTAAGAAATATCATTCATTTTCCCCTAACTCCACCATCTACCACCTCACACATATTATTTTGAGTAAATAAGACACAGGTCTTCCTCTGCCTTAGCTAGCAAATAAGTTTGCAAAGTTTTGTCCCTTGCTTGCCATATACTGCTCAGTCAGAGGCCTCCAGGTAGAACAGAGGGCTGAGTAACAGACCTGGCTTGGCCAGTGCTTCAGTATGTGACCTCCAATTAGTCTGAGCAACTGGGCCAGGCATTCGCATCAAAACATTCCATATAGCACCTTAGGGGCATCTCTCTCCCTATTCCGCGTGTGAATAATGCAGTGATTGCTGGGAAGGCCCAAAAGTTGGAGACTTCAGTATTTTCTCATCACCTTCAGAACTTCCTGTGCCAGGGGATGCAATTACAAAGAATCACCTTCCTAAAGTGGAAGGGAATATTCTAGAGGAGGGATTCCTTTACTAAGGTGAGCAAAAAGTTAAGTATTCATATATTTTTTCAGTTTTTATGATTGTTTCACATGTGACTCCAAAGGTGTATTTGTGGTTAGATTATTGAGCCAAACCTAACAGAGAAAGAATAATTGGGTAGGAATACTTGTTCTTCCCGTGACTGGGTCTGGCTCATTCTGGCTCATGCTCTCTGTTTCTGAAAACTTACTCTCAAAACTTAACTTTTTTTTTTCTTTTTTGCTTATGTGGTCAGGTCTAGTAAAGGGCCCAAAGCACCATATATATATATAACACTCTAATTTTTCTCCCGTGGTGACCTTTCCATTTCTTTCTCTGAGAGTTATAGGTACTCAATAACTACTTGTTGAATGAATAAAGAAGGGAGAGGGAGTGTGCAGGATCCAGACTTAGAGCTTCTGAATTTTAATCTTAACTATCCCACTTATTAATGTGAAGACTGAAAAATTACTCTTTGCTTCAGCTTTCTTAATAGTAAAATGAGGTTTGTGGGGGATAGAGGAGTTTTCATGAGGGCTAAATTAGCTAAAACTTGTAAAGCCCATAAACAAGACCTGGCTCATAGAAAACATCAATAAATATTAACCACTATCATTACGATTCTATCATCTGCTCCTCCTTTTCATCCCTGTCTCTACCTTAATGCTGGTGTTCCTGCTTCTGGGCTCATCTACTGATGGAGCCCTGGTGGATGGGCTCCGGGATGTTCGGGACCATTCATTTCGCCCAACGTATCCTCGAGAGTCTGTCTTTGGCAATGATAGTTCTTGTGATCCCTGTCAAAGAGAGAGGGAACCCAGGGGTATAATACCCCACCACCCATTCCCTCCATTCATGTGCCTACAGAATAGCCATGTCAGGCTAAAAATAACAGCACCATATGAGAAAGTCCCTTGGCCTCTATGACTCTTAATTCAAATTCAGGTTGAACCCTTGTCTACTATTCTAACTCTGGCCCAATCCTAACTTCTGGTGATAGACCTGGAAGAGCATTCAAAACCAAGAAGAAAATTGAGTAGCTCATATTTCTTCACTGGCAACTCCTTTTATATGGAACTTAGTATAGTTGATCATTGTTCTCTTTTCCATTGTCCCTCAGAGATAAGCCTATTAGCCGATGCTTAAAAATCATATCCACCATTTTTACAAGACTATAAAGGTAAGAACAGCTGGTACCTTACCAAGCAAGGTTGCAGTGGGGCTCTAAGACAGCTACATAAAAGGGAATGGATCCTTTAAGCATTTCTTTCAGGAGGAACAAGAATGGAGAGACCGTGGGAAGGCAAGTTAAAGAGTTTCTATTCCCATATTCTTCCCCTCACCCAGATTGTCTGTGGCTCCCCTCCAAAATCAGATGTGTGATCTCTGCTCACCCTTATCATGGCGTTCTGCCGGCCCTGCTCCCACAACAGGCACATGTGAATATAAATACGTATTGTGTGGCAGGGGCCAAGGGCTGTTCCCTCAGCTGCACAAAGGCAGAGTCTACACGACGAGTGACCTCGCATGGGGCACCATCTCAGCGAATGATTCGGATTGACTGCACGCTTCATCTGAAAGATTGTGCAGAAAATGGTCAATGCGATTGCCAGACTCCTTCCCTCCCTGATTTGAAAAAAGGCCAGTCTCCTCCCCCAAGTAGGCTGAGCAGAGGAGCCTGCTGTTCTGCTACATATTCTAAGTGCACATGCTGGGAGTAGGCAGGAGGTTAGGGAAAGGCCCAGCTTCTCCAGATTGTTCCTTAACCTTCTCATGAGGGCATTAGGGATCCCTTAATACAAATCTCAGCAGCTCAGTCTTTTCGCAGAACTGCTGGCCCCTTAACATTTTTCGTTATGCTTTCTGTTCCTTAATTTTCTTATCACCTCTACAAAGGTCAACTCACCTGAGTGCTCAGACGAATGCCCGTTTTCTCAGAGTCCCTTCTTTTTTCTGCTTCTAGACTTTCTTTTGAGTGCCTTGTCCCAGTCTCATTCTTATTATGGAAACAAAGAATGTTTATTAATTTTTAATCTCAGCGGCATTGGAAACCATGGGTTTGGAAATAAAAAGATAAATAAAACATGGAATTTGTCTCTTTGCCAATATAAAAATATATATAAACTCTAGACATTATTTTTCTCCTGTCCTAACAAGCATAAGTAAAAGGAACATATTTTATAAATGAGAATGAGAAACAATTTTTAATATAGAAATTTGATGGTTTATAGATTTGATATATGAAGTGTTTATCATTTAAAAATGAAAACAAGGGAAATACTATTGGATAATTTTTCGGGGTTCATTTTATTTAATGTGAAACTGCTTCCTTATAGTAAGTTTTTTATCTTTTCTCCATTACTCTGAAGTTTGCTACTTATGGAATTTTTTTCTTGCCATTTAGAATTGAAAATTCCTTATTTGTTATTTTAATAACTATAGCTCAAATTTTCTGTGGTTATGTCTCACAAATATTAGTCCAATTTCTAAAAATAAAGACCTTAATCTCACACCGATTTATTGAAAGACATGTCATCTGCTCTTATCATCTAATTACTCATGGAAGGAGGTTTGTTACTAACAAATTAACAAACAGGTAGGAAAAAACAAGTGCACAAGAAGAACTCACTTTATGGAAACCTATTAAAATATTTATGTTTTCATTTTCAATAGGAATAAATACTTATCGGAGCACTATTTTTACTGTTTCATGTTAATCCAGTAGCTTCAATGTGATCAAAATTAGTGTTATTTATCTGTTAAAAGAGTTGAACTTCTAAGTGAGACCAAGGTTCTCCAGAGCAGTTCATAGTCATCTGTTTACACTCTGTACCTTGCACTCAGGAAAAATCCTGTCACTTCTAACTCCAAAGTATATTTTAAATAGAATTCCTTTATTTCTATTGTCATTGCCTTGTTCTTGGCCTCATGAGGCTACATTTTTAGAATATAAGCTTTAAAACAGGTTTCATGGCTTCAAACTATCTCCACTTCTAGGTGTATCCACCCTATTTATTTAGAGTGATATTTATAAAATGTAAATCTAATGATACTTCTTTCCTGGATAAACTTTTCATTCTTTTGGTTAAGCAGGCCAGGACCCTTGTGGTGTATTCCCTCTACCTCCTACTTACATGCCTTCCACTTAAAACTTTATCAATGTGTTCTTCTTACGCCAAATGACTTGTATTTGCCTGCATACTCCCCTTATTTGCCTGCATACTACCCTCCTCTTCTCTTTCATGTTATTCATACCCAACTCAGTGTGACTTGAGGAAAGTTCTCAGAGTTAAACATCCCTCTGTGTTGTCTGAGTCTTTTTTAAATATGCTTTTACTAAGTAAGCACTGAATTGTCCTTTGTGTATTCTCTTTCCTACATGGTTGTGCATTCTTCCAAGACAGCAACTGTGGTTTAACTACTAACATATGACCATATACTGAATGAATACTGACTTACTAGAGTGATGTATACTATATGTTTGATATCTTCCTTTTCTCTACTTTTCATTTCCTCTACTTCTCCTCTTTCTCTTTTCCTCTACATTGTATTTCCTATACATGCCACTGTCTGAAATTATTTCATTGTTTCAGAGCCTTAGCAGAGGCAAATGATGAACTGATATCTGCATTTCCTCAGCTTTGTGGTAAGATTCTAGGACAGTCAATTCACTCACCTTCTTTTTCTGTTTCAGAGATGTTTGACTCATTTTTAAAAATTATTCAAATTCTTTTGTTGTTATGCAGGTTTTCGTCTCCCCAGTTCCATTTCTTGTTGCTTCCCTTGCTCAGTCTAACCCTTTAAACACCCATTTGGATTTAGAATGTCAAATTTATGACATCATATGTGATTCCATAGTAACAAACTGACTCTGTAATATGTGACTATTATTTTTTTTAAAAAAAACAAAATAAGGCAGCAATATTTCTTCATATTTGAGTGCATCTACTCATACCCATTGTCTGTGTTTTTAGGAATTGATGTCTAAACATTGTTCAAATGTTTCTTGTGCAGCAATATCACTTTCTTCTTTTAAAAATATTTTCAGTATTATGCTATTAGTCATTATATCAATCCTATTTGTGGTTGTATGCTTTCTGTTACTGCCAAAGTGAACAGTAAACTCATTTGTGGAATCAATCATTTATCATTGTTCACCTGCCATACTTTGGAGGGCTTTTTGAAGATCTGGAGACTATTTCTGAATGATAAGATTTTGCTGTAGACATGGAATTTAGATTTTAGTTTGAGTTTAGCTTTAGTATTTGGTGTTTTTTTCACAATGGCAAAACCTATTGAGGAACCTCTTTTCCCCATGACTGAACACAGTGCAGAATGTAATCTGTGTTGCTTTTTCTGGTGTTTGTCCCTTTTTTTAACCATTTAAACACTCACTTGCTTTTCCTTTGAACACAGAGAGAATAATTTGTAAAAGGCAGCCCCTACTCTGGTATACAGAGTCCGTTAACTTTTTGCATTTTACTGTTCTCATTTTATTCTCACTCAAGCTTTAGCTAAGAAACATGTGCCATGACAACTTGAGCTGGTGAAATCATCAAGGAAAGGCATATTTCTCACCTATCTTCATGGAACTTGGTAACTAAGATTGAGTATCAGGAGTTTTTGATGGTGTCAATCAAAGTTCTCCAAAGGGTCTTTTTTTAATCAATATTTTTTATTTTAATATTGTGGGGTACAGTTAAGGGTTAGGTATACAAATATGCTTCATTCAGGCCCCCTTGTTGATAACAGGTGTCTCCCCGTCCCCAGACAGATGTTTACTACCATTAGTCCCATCCCCCCACCATAGTCTCCCACCACTGTCAGTCATTTTCTTATGGTAGTGCGTTGGATAATCAAGGTCCACTATATGAGTGAGAATATGTGATACTCAGATCTTTGTTTCTGTGAGAAGTTATTCAGTATTATAGACTCTAGCTCCATCCAGGTTGCTGCGAAATTCATGATTTTGTTCTTTTTTATGGCTGCATAGTATTCCATCATGTATATGTACCACATTTTTAAAACCACTACTCTTTTGATGGGCAGTGTGGTTAGTTCCAGGTTCTTGCTATTGTGAACAATGCTGCGATAAACATTCATGTGCAGGATCTTTTTTATAGAGTGATTTGAGTTCTTCAGGGTATATTCCCAGTAGGAGGATAGCGGGGTCATATGGGAGGTTGAAGTTTAGAGCTTTTAGGAATCGCCACACTGCTTTCCACAGAGGTTGCACTAGTTTACACACCCACCAACAGTGTAGGAATGTTCCCTTTTCACCACATCCTCTCCAACAACATTATTTTCTGAGTTATTGATAATTGCCATTCTGACTGGAATTAGATGGTATCTCAGTATGGTTTTGATTTGCATCTCCCTGATGATTAGTGAGATTGAGCATTTCTTCATGTGTCTGTTGGCAGTTCGGATGTCTTCATTTGTGAAGTGTCTGTTCATATCTTTTGCCCATTTTATAATGGGGTTGCTTGTTTTTTTCTTTTCAGCACATTTGAGTTCCTTGTAGATCCAAGATGTTAAGCCTTTGTCAGATCTGGAATTGGCAAATACTTTTTCCCAGTCTGTAGGCTGTCTCCCTGCTCTCTTGATGGTTTCTTTGACTTTGCAGAAGCTTGTCAGTTTAATGAGGTCCCACTTGTCTTATCTTATCCCTTATGGCCTGTGGGTTTCTAGTTTTGTTCAGGAATTGGATGCCAGTTCCAATTTCCATGAGGGTATGTCCTTCATTTTCTAAGGTTTTTATGGTTTGAGGTTTTACATTTAGGTCTCTGATCCATTTGGAGTTAATTTTTGTGTATGGGGATAGATAGGGGTGCTGTTTCAATCTTCTGCATGTGGTCAGCCACTTTTCCCAGTACCATTTACTGAATAGGTTCTCCTCTCCCCAGTGGTAGGTGGTCGAGACTTTGTTGAAGATGAGTTGGTTGAGAAATTGAGGTTTTGCTTCTGGGATCTCAATTCTATTCCATTGATCTATATGCCTGTTCCTATACAAATACCAAGCTGTTTTGATGATTGTAGCTTTATAGTAAAGTTTGAAGTCTGGTAATATGATACCACCTGCTTTGTTTTTTTTGCTGAGGATTGTTTTGGCTATTCTTGGTCTTTTGTGTTTCCATATGAATTCCTGTGTTGTTTTTTCTAGGTCTGAGAAGAATGTTGCTGGTAATTTGATAGGTATTGCATTGAATCTGTAGGTTGCCTTAGGTAAGATGGACATCTTCACAATGTTGATTCTTCCAATCCATGAGCATGGGATATTTTTCCACTTTTGGATATTATTCATCTTTTGGATGCAAGGCTGGTTCAACATTCGTAAAACAATAAATGTAATTAAATACATCAACAGATGTCAAAACAAAAGCCACATGATTATATCATTAGATGCAGAAAAAGCTTTTGATAAAATACAGCACCCTTTCTTGATAAAAACCCTCGAATATCTAGGCATACAGGGAACATAACTCAAAGTAGTAAAAGCCATCTATGAGAAACTCACAGCCAGCATACTCCTAAAAGGACAAAAATTGGGACCATTTCCCCTGAAAACTGGAACAAGACAAGGATGCCCACTCTCATCCCTCCTATTCAACATAGTATTGGAAGTCCTGGCTAGAGCAATCAGAGAAAAGAAGGCAATTAGAGAGAGAATAGGAAAAGAGGAAGTCAAATTATCTCTCTTTGCAGATGACATGATCATGTACCTTGAAAACCCAAGAGAATCTGTCAAAAACCTCCTTACACTGATAAAGGCCTTTGGCAAAGTCTCAGGATATAAAATAAATGTGCAAAAGGCAGTTGCATTTTTTTACACCAATAATAAACAAACAGAAACCCAAATAAGAAGCACAATTCCATTCAAAATAGCCACAAATAAAATGAAATACCTTGGCATCTTCCTAACCAGAGATATGAAAGACCTTTACGATGAAAACTACAAGGGATCTTTTAGTTAGAAAAAATTCAACCTTTAGGTCAGTTTGAATTCTTTCATCTCTACCCTCCGTAGACCCCTAACCCCGTGTATTGCTGTTGAGCAAGTTGATTAATTTTTCTAAATCTCAGTTTCCTCACTTATAAAATGGAGACAATAATCATATAAACATCAAAATGTTGTGATGGTTGAAATATTATAAAGCACTTAAGATAGTGACTAGTATTCATAAGTGATTTATAAACATTAGCTATTATTTTTATTTATAGTTTTTACTAAAGCTCTACTAGAGTGCTCAAATAGAAAATCTTTAAATGATATAATCTCCATGGAAATCTAGTTGTAGAAACAGAAGTTTAAAAATACTTATTGTTAATATACATTTATAAACAATCAAATGCCAATTTGACAATTCTTCCCATATCCTAAACTCTATCTTTAGTGGTGCAGACAGAAGGGGCAGAAATTAGAGAAGCAATTAACAACAAAAGCTGAAGAGCTCTGAGCCTGGCATTCTACAAAACACAGGAGAAATATTTTTTAAAGATGAATGATTGAAAGTGTCTGTAGTTTCTGACTGGTCTTTGTAGCCTGTGCCCAAGATTGCTATTGTTTCTGGTCCTTTCCAAGACTCCTCCACATAACCCAGCATTCATATATTCAATATATTCCTTAATTATTTTTTCCAAAAGTGCACAGACTAGGGAAGAATAAGAGGTTAATAACTGTGTGGAATTATGTTATTAATTGATATCTAAATTTATAACTATATTGTTTCATTCTGAGTACTGAAGGTGAAATTACATAATTATTTGTATTTTTTTTTTTTGCTGGTTTGCTAATTTTTAAACATTTTCTAATTTTTAACATTTTTGTTGAATATGAAAGACTATATATCCATGTAGGCAGTATATTTTGTTTGTCCTAGATTCGTCTCCCCATGAGTTCAGTGTTGGTAATAAACCATGATTCTACATTTTTTGGTGACATTAACTTGTGGCCTTTGCCAAGCACCCAAAATAAAGGAATTATCATTGTCTATTCTTGTCGTGGATACAATTTTCAAAAAGAACACCAACAAAGGACTTAAAATACATTTTAGAAAACTACAACCATAGACAGGTCTAGGTTGACATTATCCATCTATTTTTGGCAAATTATTTTTTATTCTTGCCAGGATTCTTGAGAGATATATACTCATTACTTTGACAGTACTAACAGGATGTTGCAAAATGATTTCTGGGACCTGATTTCCAGTTAGCTATTCTTTCCCTATTACTTATTTTCTTGGGTGTAGTGATATTACTTAAAATTTTTGGAGAAACTAGTAGATTTCTCTTTAGCCAAGCACTTTTCAAAATGTAGGACACAAATTGAGTAATACAATTGGATACTAATTATCCTGAGAGGACACTTTTTTTTTTTCTTCACCATGGCCACCTTGTTCCACTCTGATCTGTAAAAATAAATATCGCCAAAGGTGGCTCTTTTGCCTTCAGAGTTTTTCTTCTGAGTCTAAAGATATAAAAGTCACCGACAAGTCAGACATTAACAACATTTATTATCATTTTAAAGTGTTTGTAGATATGTAAATAAATAGGTTAAAAGATCATGGAGTTTAGCAAAAAACTAGAGTGAGGAAAAAAGAAGGCATTTATGAACTCTCTGTTCTAACATAGTCATTATTAAACCTATGATCTTCTAAATTTTGTTAAATTAATTTGTCTAAAGTTTAACATCTCATCATTTGTAAACTA